TTTTTTTTTTTTTTTTTTTTTTTTTTTTTTTTTTTTTTTTTTGTTGCTTTTTTTAAAGTTCCAAGTGATAGCCCTCGGGGTTTCTATGCGGTTTCCTCGACTTCAAGCACCATTCACGTGCAGTGGAATCCAATACCACGTGACCGTGCTCACGGTGTTCTTCTTGGATACCAAGTGTATTACTACGATTATGAATACTATCACAGCAAGACCATAACCACCAATAAAACTCAAGTGGTTCTTGAACATCTCCTTCCTGGTATGAGGTATTATATTAGGGTACGTGGGTTTACAAGTAAAGGCCAGGGACCATCAATAACTATTAGACCAGTAACAAGTAAGTCGCTTTACATTTAATTTTACCAATGACTTTTAGAACGAACCTGAAACATGCCGAACTTTAACACGGAAATATTCTGCTAATATCCATATTCCTTCTCTTTTTCCCCTTTTGAGAATGCGGAGGAGTCGAACATCAAGCACTAGGAAAGATGAGCCACCCACGTTATAATATAAGACATTGGTGGGCTATAGATTGTGTGTGGACGTTAAGAGCACCTTCTAGGACGGGAATGATTGTAATTTCCTTAGAATCAGTAGATGTCCCTAACTCTTCTCAATGCTGGTATGAAATCATTTTGGTTTTGATACTATGTTTTTAAAATGTTTTTCAATCAATTGGAATATATCTTATTTTCAAATGTATTTCATTTTTTTAAAATAGCTAGCAAGCTAATAAGACATGATAGAGTGGATTAATGCAAACTCAACATATAATTGAATTTGAAAAGAAAGAAAAACATAAAACAAAACAAAACAAAACACACACACACACAAAAAAAAACAACGAAATAAACCTCATAAATATGTGCTTCAAAACTAAATGAGCTTGCATGTTTTAATAGAATTTGTTTTTATTTTTATGATCAGGTGGTTTTTTGTAGCTTTATTTGACAACAAAGGCCAAATGATTGAAAAAATGTGCGGGCGAAGACACTCTTTGACCTTTATATTCTTTGGTACGGCCAAACTACAGTCGCACTCACAGCGGTGGCTAGGAAGGGATATATTTACGATGAAAGCAAAGTATTACATGTTTAACAATGGCCTTTATGATGGTGAGTGAATAATACTATTTCTCGATATTTCTTATTTATGTTAGTTTAACTTACCAGCTTATTTTTTAACTCTTTCTGTTACAAGACTGTTATTAAGAACATGAATCTCATAAAACTCCAATTCGTCGTATCCCTAGACTTATCATGCCAGGGACGGCGGAACCGGGGGGGGGGGGGGG